TGCATTGTTAAATTATTTGCCATCGACCTATTTCTTGTGTTCCTATCACTAACTTCTCTTCATATTTCGTTTACAAAAGGTCTTTAAATAGACTTTAGATTAAATTTCACTTGAGTAAATAACCTACGGTTGGACAGTTAAATACAGAAAACACTAAGGTACATAATCAATAAACAATACCAGTTAATGAATTTTTCTGTAATTATGATGAATCAGTTTAATTTTTTTTAGATCACAACATTAAACTAGTCATCTGATATAATAATAGTAATATCAGGTGATCAGGTAATCTAAGCGTTTGTAAGCAGGACAAAATTGAATGCAAATAAATAAATCGATAAAATTTCGTAACAGTTGTCTAATCAATAAGTAAAACAGATTACCACTCTAATTTTTTAATATCACCAATAACACCAACAGTTTACACAGAATTAGGTTTATGGGTCAAAAGAACTAAGGTTTCCACGGGGAAATACTGGAGGGATCCACAGAGGCATACTGTATAGTAAAAAGTGCTATATTAGATTGCTTTTTGTTTAGTCACCGCTATATTGATTCATAGTGAGTAGGGCACCAATGGCTTAGTGGTGGAACACTCGCCAACCATACATGTAGTGCGGGATTCGATCCCCAGCTGACAAACTCGTACACCTCGCCTAACTGGTAGTAAGTCCGGTAAATAGGGAAGACTGAATGTGAGGCTTCTATTCTCAACCCATGAGAAGTAAACAACATTATCACTAAGATTTCTAAGCTCGAGCCCGAAACCCTGTGATCTACTCAAGAAGCAGGAAGGAATAACATAAAATAATAAGCAAGGCACCCAAATGTTTGGTGGTACTTTTGTTTATGCCTATGTGAAAGAGATGGATTTATCTAATTAAGTCATCCTGTCCACGTAGAAATTAAGAGGGAAAGGACAGAGAAAATTAACTGGCCGATTAATAAAGAGCATATCTTACACAAGGACAATACCCTCAATTATCTGTCGATGCGCTATATTGGCTAAATAACTCGATCTCAAAAGTTCCAACTTTTCCAACCTATCGTCAGCATTGCTGACTACTTAGTGAAATCAGCCTTCAGAATTCCTACACAGGTTGAAATCAACTGTGACCAGTTGTTACTTTATTCGCCCACATTCATATTAATTCATTCAATAACCTCATATGTTTACCTTCCACTGATATCTCTTCTCTTAATTTTGACTGAATGACTATTCTCAAGTATTGGTTTTTGTATGGATTTCATCATGAGCTGACACCGGTTAGAGAACCAGTGGAAACCCTGTAGGGAGTACTGCCAGACAGTTGTTTCGTCCCAGTTTGGGACTCTTCACAGTACGCGCCCACCGGGATTCGAACCCAGGAGCTTCTGGTTACAAGGCCAGTGAGCTCGTAGACCATTAAGCCACTGGGACCGGCTGATCCAATGGCCAGTGCATGAATTCAAACTTCTGCCAATTCATGACATAACGCGACCACTTCGCAATGTCTTCTTCGATGAGTTACTGCCTCATCTTCAACCTGCTGCATCCTACTGGTCATGGCTTCCCACTATTGTTTAAAAGGTCAGATATCAGATCCAATGGACCTTTCGAAAAGACTGTAAGTACACACATTATGAACAAGCCTCTAGTGTTGTCAAATTGTAGTGAAACTTTGATTGGACACTAGTGACTAGTATGATGTGTCCAGTCCTTCTGTTTAGTGCAGACTGAATTCTATCAGTCAGGTTTGCAATGTGGCCACCATTCTAGGTAGCTCGCCATCATGGTGCACATTGATTTGATGATATTAGATAGTTGGAGGCAATCGGCAAGAAGTCTTCCAACTAGGTTTCGTGATAGATAGCACTCACCAGTCAGCAAGGCGTATCTGCATTCTCGAAGGAACTCATGTCCCTTCTGAGATTCGAACATGCGTCACCCAGTGAGTGCTGCAGTCAGAGACGTTACCACTGAGCTATTCGGTCTCGCGAGTGACCTCCTGTAGGACTGTAGTGGGTATTTCGATTGGCACAAGTGACTAGTGTGACGTGTCTAGTCCTTTCTTTAGTGCAGACTGAATTCTATCAGTCAGGTTTTGCAATGTGGCCACCATTCTGGGTAGCCCGTCATCACGGTGCACGGTGTAATGAAACTTATTTGAGTAGAATTCTTTTTACTCATTTACGAATTCTTAAGACCTTATTTCTCCTAAATGGAATGCTTATGATAATGTACGGAGTAAGATATTAAGCCTTTCAACTCAAAGAACTTCAAAAAAATAATTAAAGCCCTTCATCTAAGCCGAGGAAATATTTATCATTGAATTATTTTTATCGACGCATCAATGTTTGTATAAAAGTCAATAATTCACTTTTGATAAATTAGGTGCCTAAATGGCATGCAAACAGTCAACATTAATAACACATAAAACAGCATTATGTGTTAAAGAAAAGTAAATTTTTTTTTCTTCTAGAATACAAAGTGTATGCTGTACTCCTTATAACTAACTAATGCAGCATTCCATTAAATACATCATATTGCATATAAATAATCATGATTTTACTATTATTGTGTTTAAATATGTAGTTGAAATTGTTAACGACAGATAGTGGAATAAATTTACTGTCACGTGTTCTATGTTAAGAAAGAGTAAGTAGAAGGAGGCATAGCAATTTATAATAATAATAATAATAATAATGCATAAAATTCATTCTATAATGCCAAGTATTTATTACTAGTTAACATTTAAACTTAAAAGAAGGAGAGAAGGTATAATATCTTTAGATGAGTACTAATCTTATATTGCTTTATAGAAGGTATACGAAACTGCAATGAACAGATCACATGTAATCACGTTGGTCATTTAATATGTTATTTAAGCATCTAGATTTTTACTTTTAAATGAATATTTAGGTTTTGTCATGATAAGCATGCTTTCCATGATTTCAGTTATGCATCATTTTCTGCAGTCAGTCAAGGTAACAATGGTCGTTTCACTTCCGATTCCTTTTAAATCCTTCTGTTTAAAGCTAAAGAGTTAAGTATTATATTGCAGGCACCTATCTCCACTTTGTACTATTGTCTTCGCTTCTCTTCAGCTGGCCTCAAGACTGCTTGTAGCTTTTCATCTCCTCCTTGCACCCTCGGACTCCAAATTCGTCGATTCCCATTCGAACCCAACTCGAGTGCCAGCCTGGAGCACGATGTCATTCGATGGCCCGATCCAACTCCATTTCCTTCAGAATATTTGTTGACCAATGGATTCTTGATTGGCTCGTTCTCAGAGTTTCTTGTCGCTAATTCTTTCTAGCTGGCCATCTGGTGTTCAGTATGCAACCAAAGAAGGCAAATATTGGTAAAAGTCTGAGTCATCCTGTTGGAAATACTTTATGTGACGCACCAAGTGTTTGCAGCATATAGAAGCACTGACTGACTGGGCATTAGTATTGAAAATCCGAATTTTGTTTTTTTATGCTGAATGCATCAGACTTCCAAAATAATTTCAGAGAGATGAAGGTTTGTCTTGTGTTTCTGATCCTGGCTAGTTTTGGCATCCTCAACCGTACCGACTGCCTGTAGTTGAAATGATGTTTCCTTGCCAGATAGGAGAAGGAAGTTACCTCTTTCATATTTCTTCCGTTGATAGTGATTGGTGTCTGTTGTTGTCAGTCGGTTATTTTTATCCCCTCCATCTTCTTTATGCTTGATTGGAGTCCTGTCTTTGTCGCTTCTTCTGCCAGTTTGTGTACTGTGTGGTTATTCTGAGGGATCAAAAATACTCCCTTATTTTATAATTCAATTAGTTGTTTTTCTCCTTCTTTGGCATTCCATTTTGTAGACTGGTTACAACTTTTAATTTTCTTTTTTACGAATAATTCCTGAAACTGGGAAGAGGATCATCAGCATAACTTTACTTTTTCAGGCCTAAAGTTACTTTCCTCCTTTTCGACACTGTAAATCATTCCAAAAGTACTTATATCTTTTGGCTTTCTCTTCATCAGTGTTTCTTCCTTCAGTAGTGAGTTTTGTTTACCTATCCTTCGTTATTTCTATTCCACGAGAGAGACTTGATAGAGGTTACTTCCTTCACTTATCCTGCTAGGAAGCATGGTTTCAACCACAGGCAGTTGGAACGGATGCAGATGTCAAAGCTGGCCAGAATTGGAAAGGCAAGATACGCCAACGCCAACCTAAAACAAGTTTGGAAATCTTTGGCACTACGCCTCCACATAAAGAACGATATTCGGATTTTCAAAGCCAATGTGAAGTCAGTCAGTTCTTCTATGTGGATCAGAGACTTTTGAACAAGTTACGGACTTTTATCAACAGCTGTCCCCTTCATTAGCACCATACTGAAGATCAAATGGCCGGCAAGTAGGCCAGAAAAAATCAGCAAACAGAAACTCTGACGATGAACAAACTAACCAAGAGCCGATTGCTCAAGAAATATGCAGAGGAAAATGGAGACAGATTGATTGGGCATACGTTGAGGAGCCCGTCGAATGAAATCGTGCACCAACCGATGGCTGGAGAGGAATCCAAATGGGAAGCGACGAGTAGGTCGCCAGTGCGAGGGTGACATGGAGGAGATCGTGTGGTGAGGAGGAGATAAGAGATAATGGCAAATCGCGGGTAGGCTTAAGAGGAGAGCAGAAAAGGGGGCAAAGTGGAGATGTGTTGTTGAAGTCCTACGTTTCACTCGGAACCTAAGGGAATAATAAAAATTATGTTCTAAGCTTCTGTAATCAAAATAATCAGTATTTTGTTATTTAGTGTTATATTATTGCCTAAAAGTGTTTAGAAAGGCATACATGAAAGAGAAGTGATGGATACAGATGTCTCTGATATATATTTGGAAGGTCTTAGCTTTCCGCAATTTCGTCCAGTCCTCTATTTTAAGACTGATGAGCCGGTAATGTTACTTGATTGTTTCTGGAGATAACTTATACCCTCCATCGTTTATTCATTAAAATGCTCAATCTGTATTGATTTTTGTTTTTGTTTTCTTCAGATACAATAGTGTTTGTGAATTGGAGAATGTGATCACACAAAATTATCCAGAGTTAATGAGTCCATTTAAAATTGTTCTACAAGATTTTCGTAAAGAACTATTACACATAAAAAGGGAAAAATCTAAATTAGAAGAAACATACATGAAGTAAGTAAACAGTTATGATTTCATTTTTCAATTATTATATTATCTAAGGGAAATGTTTGTACATCAATGATTTATTGACAGACTGCTCACCAGCCACTCACAATAGTCCGGATTCAATTCCCGACTGAAGCATTCCTAAACCCTACTCAACCTGTAAAAACAATACCGCCACAGCTTAAAACTTGAAGCCTTATGCTCCACTCAGAACTCAAAACGATAAAATTAAGAAAGGTTTAAATCAGTCTGTCCTTTTTCATCGTATAATTTTTGATATATTTTCATTCAGACATCTAGAAAAAAAACAAAAAAACTGAGCAAAGAATATCCTTTTCGATAATTTGCTCTTCTGGCGCCAGAATTATATGTATGTTGATATACATAGAATATTCTAGAATAGTCGTCAATAACAATATTGCTGTTTTTTAAATAATATCGATTTGTTAAGTAAGATCAATGGAATTACAGTTCATTAAAGATGCCTAAATTATAATAAGCATACAAATGTAATGGTAAATAGAATATCAAATAAAATTAAGGAAATTTCCACAGCAAATTGAAGATTATTAAAACCTTGATTGACGGCCAATGTAAGGACAGTGTCTGAACCAACCAACTTCGTTTGGATACATAAGTTAGGTTTCTTAATGTGGGTCCCAACAGCCAGCCTCAGCAATATGTAGTAGACGAACTGTTAAGGTGAAGTTAAGATTTCATTATGGGTAAAATTTATTTTGATAAAGTATCACAGTGATATACAGTAATATTTACTGATGACCACGTTTCGAGAACAATTTATTGCCGCTCATAATCATATCAAGGTACTCACTCACACAACTTTCTAGCTTCGTTTATACAATTCCATTATTTTCCATCGCTTGACTTGATTACTAGTAGTATTTTCCATATTTTCGTTATAAGTAATGAGTCATTCCTATTGCACGTGTTGGATGTAGTCTCGATGGACAAGGATTCAGTAATCAACCTCTCTCTCCACCTACCTATATTACTACTTAGGATTTTAACCCTCTCCCACCCCACTGTGTGGTTGTGTGCTAATGCATGCAGTGCAATCGCTTAGCTTTTTTCTAAATTACTTATCTTCTCAGGTATATAAACACAAATTATGCCGAATATTCGAATCAAAAGTTCTATTATTATTATTGTTCCCTTGGGTTCTTAGTGGAACATAGGGCTTCAACTACACGTCTCCACTTGTTTCTATCTTCTGCTGTACTTTTCACCTGCATCCATGTTAATCCATACTGTTCCAACTCTTCTTCACACGATCTCCTCCTTGTCACCTTTGGACGTCCCACTCGTCGCTTCCCTTTCGGGTTCCACTCGAGCGGTGGCCTGACGCGCGATGTCACCCAGCAGCCTCCTCAACGAGTGTCCAATCCATCTCCACTTTCTCCTGCATATTTGTTGGGCGATTGGTTCTTGTTTTGTTTTGTTTGTTCCCATAGTTTCTTGTTGGTTCTTTTTCTTTCCGGCCATCTGATCTTCAGTATAGAGCCAGCGAAGACAGTTGTTGATAAAGGTCTGCAACAGGCTGTTGGAAATATTCTTCGTGACCCGCTGCCACGTTTCTGATCCGTATAGAAGAACTGACTGACTTGGCGTTTGTATTGAAAATCCGAATTTTGTTGTTGATGCAGGCTGAGTGACGAAGATTTCCAGATTGGTTTCAGGTTGATGAATGTGTTTCTCGCCTTCCCGATTCTAATCGAAAGTTCTACACGACATTATTCTTAGGTATATGCTGATTTTTGATGAGAAACAAATGATAAAACACGTAAACGTATAGCTATATAAGAAAAATATGATTTTCAATCGTCTCAGACACTGTTCAAAGAACATTATCATTGGTTTTACTTTTTCAAACCCTGATGTACTGGTGTAAGGATGAAATTTTGGTTTAGGCTGAATAATCTCATTAATTTTCAACCTTATCAAGAATTTGGAAATTAGCTTGATTATTTCTACTGGAAAACAAGATCCACTCAGATCCATTCAGTACGCGTGTTAAGTAATATTAAATTTAACTTCAGTTACCAACCTGTGCTACTTAGTTGCAAATTTCGTATGTACTCTTGTTCTTTTTGGACGAAAAATCTCAAATATTTATAAATATTATAGCTCTGGAGTTGAGGAATACCTTTAAGTTGACAAAAAGTTCTCAATAAAATAAGATGTTCAAGTGTTGGTTTGTAGGGATTTCATTGGTTACAGGATTTCATCATGAGCTGACATCAGTTAGAGAACCATTGGAAAACCTGCAGGGAGTACTGGACAGCTGTTTCGTCCTAGTTTGGGGCTCTTCATCAGTACGCACCCACCGGGATTCGAACCCTGGACCTTCTGGTTACAAGGCGAGATCGTATATAAAGTTATATATATATATAACTTTATATAACATATATATATATGTTATATAAAGTCATCAACCTGCTATATGCATAGCATGTGTTTGTACACATTAACCTGTAGAGAATATTTGCGTCCTCACAAAGACTTTAATGTGTGTATATGACATTTGACTTGTGGGAAAACTACTGTATAGCGATTTTCATAAGTTCAGAAGACACTTCACTTACCACAGTATTCATAGTCCAATTACTCTAAGAGCAAGCTGTCAGCCACACACACACACACAGCGTCGTATTTCAACCTTTCAGATATGCAGTGATAACATAACAATTGGCTGACTTACTGAAATATTAGCACTATATAAAAACTGTCTAAAGTTAATCTTAAAATCCATATTTGAAAAGTACTTTATCGAATCTAAAATAATAAAATAAGAGTGGATATGAAAGCAGGATATACTGATGTGTACTATTGAATGAAATGACTAGCTAGAAACCTTGTCACGTGAACCACCAGATCATAGTGATCTAAACACACCGGTCTACTGTTTAACTCGTTTGAACCGGAACTTATCAGTGAAGTACTCATTTCGATTATGATCAGGAGGGTTTAATCACAGTAAACCACTTGAATTCTGAAGAATTTAAAAGACAATTCAGCGAAGGAAGTTTCCGTTATCGACGAAATCATCTTCAGAGGCTGTACAGTTGTATTTATATATACCAAAAATGTATAATAGTCTATTATTGAATAATAAGAGGTGACATAATTCATATAATTACTCAGAAGTAGCTTTGGAAGTAGGAAATAAAAGTTGTAAATACGTAGTACTCAACGGCACAAAAGAAGAAAGGATGAGAAATTGCATAAGGTTAAAATTGCTATTGACTGAGAATAAAAGTAGTTGAGTGTCAATTTAACAGGTGTGAAGAGGGTGTGAAAATGTACAAAAGGAGCATGAAGAGGTTAAGACCATGTGAGAATAAGAGACTGGACAGACTTTTTCTGTATACATAGTTCGAGGTTGTATTGACGAATTGCCAACAGCTCTGCTATTTACAAATGCCGAAACCTCACTTTCTTTGTACCATTTGGTCTCACCTTGTAGATGATCTTGAAAGATGACTGCGGTGGAGCTGTGTGGTTTGAGTTCACCATATGCTCGAGAATTGAGCTAGTAACTGTCTTGCGTTATCCTTTTGCTAACCATGTCGGATAATGTTCAGAGATGTGTTTGAAAAGTGTGCGCTTTGTGAGGCCAATATAACCAGCTCCACATGAGCAGGTGAATTTATAAACACACACAGAAGTGGCCCAAAGCGACATTTTTATCCTTCACACATCCACTGATCATTTGTCGGCTGTAGAAATTGATCTATGATCTGCATAAACGATTCTTCAGAATCGCAGTTGTGGTATCACCGACAAATGATCAGTGGATGTGAACACCATTTACGGTGTCCAACAGATCGCATGTTTTGATCGTATACTTTTAGTTTCCAGAATTACATAACCTGCAGATCACGAATATGGATCATCTGTATCTTTCGTCTGAATATTTTCTTTTGTCAAAATTTTATTTCTTAATACTTCATCTATGTTATTTTACAAGAGTTCCATCAGTCCCACAAAACCATTTATCCTCGATTTGCTTCCCAATGAACACTGACGTTCAACTCTTAAATGTTGTAATCTACAAATAATTTTGCTTGTTCCTTAATACTGCCTAGAGGACAGTCTGATATCACATAAAACCAAATAAACTTGCTTCGAATGTGAGCCGGCTGGTGTTTAAACTGTTCATTTATGAAGGATTCGTGAGGGAATGAGGGAGTAACTGTTGTTTTTAAGAGACTTATCTACATTGCTACAGTCAATTTATTTTCAAGCATTCAACACAAGCTACTAAATGGGACTATTCTTTTTATTTCCTAACACATCATATTTCTTTTTTATTCCTTTACGTTCCCAGTGGAACATATAGCTTCAAGCTAAAGCTTTGAGGTTTCGGTAGCAGTAGTGTTTATTTTTATGGGATGGGGTTGCTAGTCTCATGCCTAAACTTCCCTCTTTGTCAGTCTTATTACTGGCTTAGAGAGGTAAGTGAGTGCGTCGTCTGGGGATCGAACCCCGTACCACCTGTGGCGCGGTTGATGAGCATCCTACCGCTATGCCACCAACGCCATTTCTTATCTATATATATGTTTAAATCAAAGGTCATTAAAAGACACTGACTGAGCTTAATCTATGTGCATATTTCTCTGAGTTCCCAAAAATGACCATTTTATGCACTGAAAGTGTGCTAATGCTATTCTGTATTCCTGTTAAATAAATCGCAGTGATATAATCAGTGGACAGCTTTTTCCATCATTTGGGGTAGGGCCCATTGAAGGCGTACCCGATTTGATTCAGCTAGCGGATACGGACGAGAAAATTTTCTGAATTCGTTTGAAGGGTCTCTGAAAACCTACGAACTACACAATGTGTACTGAAAATCAGTAGACAATCAGCACATCACCTTGATTAGTTTAATAAAACCAATGAAAAATATCCTCCCAGTGTAGCTACGATATATATATATATATATTTGTGTAATTTGGTGCTTCGGTGGCATAGCGGTTAGGACGCTC